TTGGTGGCAGACTGGTTAGAATTCTATACTGAGCATCTGAATTTCCAACATTATCTTTAACTGCTTGCTTAAGCCCCTGAAGCATTTCCTCCAATTCCTCTTCTTTAGTATTTGGACTTTCAATCTGGATATTAAACTCTTCCTCTAGAGATTTTCTAATTTTCTTTACAGTGCCAGGAAAAACCTCATGTGCATCCTTTTTGGATCTCTTGAATTGTCTAGCATTAACAGGGGGAAGACCTAATGCCTCTGAAAGAAACAAAACAATGTACATTAGGTATGAAATGAAATTAATTTGAAGATCTGTTTACCTAAAGTAGTTGATACATTTGGTTCGCTCAGAGTTTGCACATCTTCGGATTGACTCAATAATTCGTCTGAGGATTCAGTACTTATGTACTCAAGGCTAATATCAGCTATAAAATAACTCTTTGTAAATCTAGTTCTACAAGCCCCACAAACTTTTTTACCAGGTATCAATTTCTGCTTGAAAGTTTTTACATCATTCAAGGTTATTTCACTGAGCATAGATTTCATTTTCTGTAAGTGAGTTTTAAAAGGATGAGCACACTCAGTTTGTCGTAGTTTATACAATCTAAAATACTGTTTATGATGTTTATCACACAAGAGTCCTTCTTCTTGTTCTCTAATTTTTCCTTCCAGTCTCAAAACCACTTCTTCTTTATCATACCTTAAAACTTGCATAGGCTTTACAATTCAAAACAAAATCTTGTTAAAATGGGTTCAGACATTACATATAATTTTTTTTGTTTTAAAAATCGAAGTCTATGTATTCGAGATTTGGGGTCCGACGTGATTTTTTAGTTTTTTTAGGAGGGGGGGGGGGGGGTAATTTTGCTGAAATTTTTGAATTAATTTTTTGCAAATTTATTGCAAATTTGATGAGATTTCAAAGTCTATCTAAAGTTTGTATACCTAAAATTAAAAGTTTTAGAGCATGTTCACTGACTTTGTAGTACACTATAAATCGACCAAGATTTTTAAAATGGCCAAAACCAGCCCAAACAAATTTCAAGAAAAAAATGTGGTGACTGTTTATGACCTAAATAACTGGAATTTTAAGTTTGAGAAGAATCTTTTTTTTCCTTCTTCATGGAATGATCCAAAAGTTTATTGCGTGTTACTTCCTTAGTTTTCAAAAAAAAAACATATCTTCCACATTTTTGTAAAACGGGCAGTGTCATCTTAGCATGGAGAATCTCTTAAAAACGCTGACAGCCCCTTTAATGATAATCTTTGTCTAGAGGTCCTGAATTCAGATCAAACACGTCACATAGTTTCATTTGAAGTAAATATTTCCATTTACTGATAATAGCGCCGATTGAAGTATTCAAAACTCTGATTGGATAATGAGATAGATAGAAAGATAGATGATACCGCCATACACAGATCGAAAATAAAGAAAAGTTGGATCAATTTTTGTAAGACTATTTGACTTTGAAGAGTCGCAACGCCTTGGCATTTGATTTTACCTTACTAACTCACTTATACTTTTTTGTAGCCCAAAACTTGTGCATATATATATGTTTTCAGCTTTAGCTTTTAAAAAGTAATTGGCAAAATTCTCATAACATTTTGCGTGAGATCTTGCAACCTTTGAATCACTGTGCCCCTCCAGCACAGTGTTTTAACTTACAAAAAAAGAAGGGGTGTGAGTTTAGGATGCACTGTGCACTTTTGTTTCAACATCTCGAAAACTTCGCCGTTATTAAATATTGGGTTTTAGAATATTTTGGCATTGGTGAAAACTAGACATAGAGCAAAAATTTGATTGTTTGAACAAATAAAATCTAAAGATCTGCTTATCCCCCCTCATTGTACTTTGATACAGCCAATAAACCACAAATGTTGAAATAAAATAGAAAATATATCTAAATAAACTTTCTGGCGAATCATTGTTTTCATTTATATATTTATGAATATTTATGAATTTATGATTTTAGCTTTTTTTCTTTTAAGTCCAATCAATTACAAGCCCAAGTAAATCGTAGAAAATGTTATTTATATCTATGTATAATATACAGTTGTAATCTCTGTTTGCCTGTTTATTTGTTTTTCCGATCATAACTCCGGAACCCCTGGACCGATTCGCCTCAAATTTTGATTGGGGAACTCGGGAGAGCCGCGGGAATGTTAGAATCTTGGTTTTGAGAGTCTAAATTGAGTGGATCAATTTTTATCGGGAAAAGTTGCTATAATCGTAATTTGAGACCAAGCGCGGGTAAACGGCGGGACTAAATATGATTCCCCTGGGCAACGCTGGGTTCCCAATCTAGTATGTTATAATTTCTCATTAAAGGGACTGGAAAGGAAAACTTAAAGGGGGTAAAGGTGTGAAAGCTAATCCCAATCTGAAAACGAAGATATCCCAGAGAAACATAATTGTAACCTGGCTTTTGTCCAATTATAATTTATAATTTTTATTTTTATTTTTAATAGATATAAAACCAAAAAAAAGTTTAATATGTGTAGAAATCATACCCATCCCATTCCTTATACATTGATAAAGCTAAGCTTTGTTGAAAAAGATTCCTACGTTTTTTTCTGTAAATCTACAAATCTACCGACCATAGTTTTAACAAGGTTACAAGACACGCGTAAACTAGACGCTAATTGAGCGCATAATGCCGCGTAAACTAGACGCTAATTGAGCACACATTGCCGCAAGCTTCCATGTTAATTTCATATCTTTCCTTGGTATTTTTTGGCGTAATATTTTTATAATTTTTTATCAATATTCAGATAAATACTAATTATAAAATAAAAAGAAATGTTTTCGTAAAATATAATTCCAAATTCAGACGATAAAGATAATGAAATATCTGCTCAGCCCTAGAACCATTTGTTATTTTTCATCTCTGTTTATCAAATTGTATAATTATTCTTTGCCGAAAAAAAGTTCAAATGTCTTAAACTATTTAAACCAGCTTTTTCTGTAGATTCAACTTTAATTATAAAAGTCACCCTCTTACTTGTAATTGTTAAACTATAAGCTGAGAACATTTCCGCGGTTCTATCCCCAATACAAAGGAATTGAGTTTTTGCCACAAACTCTGATGTTCTAATCCTAATATCTCTGCCATCCAATGCCGTAGATCTTACATATTTAAAACTATAAATTCTGTTAAATAAAATAATCTAAGTTTGAAATGCCTAAGGTTTTCGTCATAAGGTTTGACAGATATAGGGAGTAGAAAATTCGAGTTTGTTGCAAAGACTCAACTCCTTTGGGGCAAATCAACAAAAGGTTCATGAGTTATGATCCGACATACAAATGTACAAACAGTCGAACAGAGATTACTATACATTGTACATAAAACCAATAAGACACAGATTTTTAAAAATCAAGATAAAATAAACAAAATCAGTTGAATTATGTATGAAAAGATTCTTATAAAATAAATTAGTTAATACTTTTTTACAGTTCTCTTCGGGGTTGTTTATAATCATCGATGAAGCAACGTTATATTGCTTTGTTGCCTTATACCTGCAGGTCTATTGCTTGTAAAATTACACAATCCCAATTTTTAGTCACTTCTAATATTCTTAATATGAGCAATTAAAACATTTGTTTTTGGTTTTATTGCTGTCTACTGAGGAATCTGATTTCGTTGAAATCTTGTTTGAGTTATTTTGTAGTTTGTAAATTAGGCCGTACAATATTTCATATGAGAAATAAAGTTTGGTTTTGGTTTATTCAGTTGATTGATTGAAACTTGAAACATGGCTTTGTTTAGAACATCTATTCAAGCATGATATATCATATATTCAGACCAATTAATTATCATTAATTAATTAGTTATTAAACTCATTAATTCATAGGTTTTCAAATAAATTTAATTAAATAAATAATGATGTTTTTGATGGGGGGATATGTTCTCATTAATACGGGAAATAAGGTTCTAAGAACCAAGTTAAATAAGTTTTTAGTCACACAATTGAAAGAACAACAGTTATTTTGATAACAAAAAAATTGAACTTAAGAAAGAATACCAGCATTTCTCAATTCATGCAATTTTTCTGGATAAAACAATTATAGAACAGTTTAGCAATAAATGCTTTCTTTATTTTACAGTGCACTTTTCATGATAAACATTGGAATGATCTTTTTCTTGAGATTATGCACGACAAGAATTCTAAATAAGCTTCACTTGAAATATGCAGTATTCCTTTGTCTCCGATATTGGATCTCTATTCTGTAAAGACGGAGAATAAGTTAACATTCAGATCCAGAATTACTTTTATTTAAGAAAAAACATTTTTTTGGTTCCTATGCTGTAGGTTATTTACAACGAGGTTATAGTATATTAGAGTGATGATGTACGATAATCCTTTACTATAAATTGTACAGACTGTGTACGCCACTTCCAAAGATTAATCTATGTTACAGTACTTGCAGGATTTCTGAAAATCATTTTTTTTTGGTCACGTATGTTCAATTGATCCTCTATTTATAAGAGTGGAATGTCAGATTAAGAACGGTACTCTCAAATGTTTAACATTAATCTAATTCATATTTCTTGACAGTAATTTTTAAAACTGTAGAACAATTACAGGGTGATCCAAATAAATAGAATATTTTTACAAAGCTTTACCACTAAAATGCAAGTAAAATACTGAACTGGAAGGACGGGAGTTGAGGAGGGTGGAGGGCACATTTTTAATACGTTTATATATACAGGGTGCAGACAGGAGGTGATACGGGTAAAAATATCCCCCCCTCTCTGTACATTTTTAAAGGGAATTTGGTCATTTTTGTGTCAAAACCATGACCAGCTGGGGGCTGACGGGGGAATATGTGAAACCAATATTTGAATTTTTATAAAAAATATTCATTTTGAGTAATTAAGTTGGGACACAACACTGCATACTCAGTTTAACTACCTTACATAGCCGGTCTGTCCCTTTAACCTAATTGAACTACATGTCTTTCAGTTCAAAATTTCATAATACAAGTTAATAATTTTCTACTATTTCAGGTTGTCGGAGGGGTCTGGAAGAATACACAAAATAAACGAATTATTCTGGTTCCCAAAAAGTTAAAAAAAAAACAAGAACAAAATCCACTATTCATGAGACACAGCAGTAGACTGCACTCACCATCTAAATATAATTAGATAAAGCTTACTCCTCAGATCCAACCTTGATTTCATTTAATTATCCTCAGTCATCATGCATAGACAAGCAGTCATATATAGAGGAGGACGTAGGAATAGAATTCATTGAGAGAAGCTGAATAGGGTGAAAGCAGAAAACTGTGAAGAAAGAAGAAAGAATCAAAGAGAAAGAAAACTATTGAAAGCAAGCTATAAATTAAAGGCTTAGTCGAGTTCACAACATTTAAAGCAAGGAAAAAAACAAAATGGAAGCGTAAACAAAAGAGAGGAAAGATAAATAGAAAAGAGAGGAAAGATAAATAGAAAAAACAAAGAGAGACTTTAAAGAAGAAGAACTAGCGAAGGACGGGAAAATGACGAGTTTCCGATTTCCTGGACGTGAACTGATCCTGCTCATCTTTATTCTCCGAGAAGGTGAGTAAAATATATACTCTGAGAAGATAAGTAACCTGTATTCTCCGATAAGGTGAGTAAAATATATACTCTGATAAGACAAGTAACCTGTATTCTCCGATAAGGTGAGTAAAATATATACTCTGAAAAGTTGAGTAAAAAATATACTCTGAGAAGGTGAGTAAAATAAATACGCTAAGAAGGTTGAGTAAAATATATACGCTGAAAGGTGAGTATAACCTGTATTCTACGCGAAGGTGAGTAAAATATATACGCTGAGAAGGTGAGTAACCCGCATTCTCCGAGAAGGTGAGTAAACTTTAATCTCTGAGAAGGTGAGTAACCTGTATTCTCCGAGAAGTTGAGTAAACTATATTCTCCGAGAAGGTGAGTAAAATATATACTCTGAGAATGTAAGTAACCTTTATTCTATGAGAAGGGGAGTAAACGATATTCACCGAGAAGGTGAGTAAACTGTATTCTCCGTGAATGTGAGTAAACTCTGTTCTCCGAGAAGGTGAGGAAAATAAGGAAGGATTTAAGACTTTGTCACAAGCTCTGATTTTTCAATCCATAAATCTTTGCATCCAAATATCGTAGGCCTTAGAATTGAGTTTTTAGCTATGAATTGAGTTAGATCAAATAATTTAGGTGTTAAATATCTAAGGTTTCCAATATCAGGTTGAGTTTGTGGCTCAATTTCCTTGTTTGCGACAGAAGGTTTTTCTTAGAAGTTTTTTTTAGTGAGGCGCTAGTTTACGATGGCAATTAAAAACTTTCAAGGTTTTAACTATCCTCAGACCAGAAATAATGAATATAATAAATAGTTGATCTAAGTAGAATATGTTGAACCACTTCATTTCAGGCAAAAATATCAGAATATCAAATGCCAAATGATCAAATGACTAATTATGGAGTACAAACTCAGTACGTTTTAATTAAGTCTACAAGCTAGAAACGTAAGCAAATCAGAGAAAATCATTGTTCATCTCAAAGAAGAAAAGAGATAAGAGAACAGAAGAGTAGAGAAGAGAAGAAAAGAGATAAGAGAACAGAAGAGTAGAGAAGAGAAGAAAAGAGATAAGAGAACAGAAGAGTAGAGAAGAGAAGAAAAGAAAAGATAAGAAAAAAGAGAAGAAAAATAGAAGAAAAGAAGAAGGAAAGAGAAGAGAAAAAAAGAAGAGAAGAAAATAGAAGAGAAGAGAAAGAAGAAAAAATAGATTGCGTGAAAGAGAGAGCTTGCATTTTACAGACGTTTTATCAAAAAAGTATGTTTAAGAATACCTTAAACTTTTAAATTAACTTTATAGTAAAATTGTATGATATTTTTGAAAAAAAATAGTTGACCTAACTGTTTAGCGTAATTTTTTGATCATTTAAAGATTTTTGATCATTTGGCATTTGATAATCTGATATTTTTGGCTCTTCAGCTTGACCCGGAGCACAAGAAAACTGTTTGAACCGAGTATACTAGGTTCAGCTACTTATCGCTAATTATTAAATCTGGTCTTTGGTTGTAATTAATCTATGGAGCAACAACAGAATAAAACTACTAAAAAGAAAATAAAAACAATAAAACATTTTCCCTGAAGAAAAGAACCGTAATATAATTTCCATGGAAAATTATCTTTATTTTACTTTTACATTATTAAAATATCATCAAATTTAACGTGTATTAATATTTTAGATATATTCGATTTTTTAGTTTCATGAAGGTTTCTTATTTTTCTTTATCTACACATATTTTTATTTTAACCCCTGTTCGGTTACCAGTATCTGAATATTTCTTATATCCGGTTACCCGTATCTGAATATTTCTTATATCCGTTTACCAGTATCTGAATATTTCTTATATCCGGTTACCAGTATTTGAATATTTTTTATATCCGTTTACCAGTATCTGATTATTTCTTATATCTGGTTACCATTATCTGAATATTTCTGAATATTTCTTATATCCGATTACCAGTTATTGAATATTTCTTATATCCAGTCACCAGTATCTAAATATTTCTTATATCCGGTAACCCGTATCTGAATATTTCTTATATCCGGTTACCAGTATCTGAATATTTCTTATATCTGGTTACCAGTATCTGAATATTTCTTATATCCGGTTACCAGTATCTGAATATCTATATATAAATTTGGCTTGTGTGTCTGTATGTTTGTTTGTTTGTCTGTCTGTTTGTATCCAATAAACGTCAAAACGGCTGAACCGATCGGGCCCAAATTTTTTGTGGGACATCTAGGGACCCCAGGGAAGGTTTATGAATGATATTTGTCTCCATCAAAATTCGATCTTCATTAAATTTTTTAAAATTTTGAAAATCCACGAAATTTTTTGTGAAAATCAGCGAATTATTTTTGTTTTGTTTTACGATGTACACAAAGAGAACATGTTCACAATTAATTTAGAAGATGGGCGCGAAGCGCCCTCTAAGGCTAGTTTTTTATATCTGGTTACCCGTATCTGAATATTTCTTATATCCGGTTCCAGTATCTGAATATTTCTTATATCCGGTTACCAGTATCTGAATATATATGATTTATTCGATTTTTCAAATTTACAAATAAGTTATTTTTAGTTAATCTATTGAATCTGTTACCTTATTATAATCTATTGAATCTGTTCCGCCATGTCTGGGCGAATGATTTATCCTTCTTATATCCGGCCACCAGTATCTGAAAGATCATTCTGATAGAAAGAGTAAAGCTTCAAATTCTTTTCTCCCCAGGGACTTGTCCCGACTTTATCCTGTTTTCCATCAGTCCGACCAGTCCCAACCATCGATATATCACATCTAGGGCAAAAGATAAATAGTCTTGTAAAGGTCGGATTTAGATTGAAACCAGCTGATATAATTTAAAACTCAACATAATTAACACACGTAAGCAAATTATCAGTTTTTACACAAGAAAAGCACTAAACTTTTTGTATTTACAGATAATAAATCTATCTGTTAATAATCTATTTAGCTAGAATATTGATGGACATTTGACCTGTAAACCATCATAACCTATCTAGAATATCAATGCAAATTCGATCTACAAAATATCATCTTCTTTTTCTTTCTAGATTAAACAAAACACCCTGGAAACCATTTGAACCTATCTAAAATAGTGATGATTTTTAGATCTGCAATCTGTCCATAACTATCTAGATTGATTGATAAATTCTCTGTAAACCATCTATACTTATCTACAATATCGATGGGTACACTCTATAAACCATCTTTACCTATCTAGAATATCGATGGATACACTCTGTAAACCATCTATACCTATCTAGAATATCGATGGATAGACCGGAGAATTAGATTGAAACTGTTGATAGTTCTAGATCAATAGAGTTCTAATCCCTACCCGGAGGAAAGTTAATCTAAACCCAAATTCTTTTATGGTAAAACTATAGATAGGAAAGAGGCGCGAAAATACCAGGCAGTTCAGAAATGCTTGTAAGTTGTAATACATAATCAATAACAATGTAAATACATATACGTATATGCACACAGTTGGCTTTAAGTAGTATTGTAAATAAACTGTAAAAATGGTTAGATATTTATAAATAAAAAATGGTACATAAAAAACTTTTTAAAAAACTTTTGTAATCATAACTTCAGAAATGTGAATAAAATAAAACATGTACCAATTTGTTAAACTTGTTTTTCTTTACCAAGTTTCGTTTATATTCTCTGTCATAAGTTCAATTTGACCTCTGGATGGATTGTATATGCAGTGCTTCTATAAAAGAATTGAGTCTTTGCCACAAACTCTGATTCTCTAATCCCTTTATATTTGTAAAACAATGTCGTAGAACTTAAATATTTAAAACTATAAATTCTTTTAAATGCATAATTAAGCTTAAAATATCAAAGGATTACATCCATCAGATTGCAAAGAATGGATTAAAAAATTTAAGTTTTTAGCTATGACTCCATTCCTTTTCATAATTCACGTACATTATCCATTGTACAGGGGAATCTGATGGTAAGGGTGGTAGTTGGAGATCAGGAAGTGATCTAAGTAAACTCTACGACAGTGTTACTCCGAACCCAACAGGATCCCTCTCCGGACCATACTTTCTACAGGAGACAGGAACCACGGTTACAGGTTAGAATCAAGAACGGAAAACTAGGCTGAAAGAGAGGTATATTTCTCTATTTCAAAAAGGAGTTTCAGATAGATTTCTACCGCAATTTAAACATTTGTTGCATTTGAGGTTTCTACTGTGCTCTTGCAAGAAATGCATCGAATTAAAATTGTTTGATTAGGATTTTTTAAGATTCTAAATTTACCCTTTTTTAATGTTTGTGGAGACTCCCTTTAATTTGATTTCAGCACCGCATAGATATTTTAATGTTCGACAGAATCTATAGAAAATTCTGTTCATTTTTTTTTAAATACTGAAATATGTTTCTTTTTCTTTTTTATTGTTTTTGTTTCGTGACCAAGCAATTATATACAGTTCTGTTTCTCGATAAAAGGGGTTGAACACTGAACCTAAATCTAGATATGATGGTATTAAACTGTCATATTTATATAAAAAAGGTGTTATATTTATCTTGTTCTCTTGCTCACTGAACATTTTATATTTGAGGTTGATTTATTTTGTATATTTTATGAATGTAAAATTGTGAAAGCTGTAAAGTACATTTATTAGGGTAGATGCATAAATTTTCTTGTAAAACCTTGTTTTTATCTGTTCTCTAAACCTTCACGTAGGAGGCTCAGCCCAAGCAATTTAACCTCAATATTTTCTTCTTTGATCGGTAAAATATAATTCTTTACAGCATCACATTATATTTCTAACTTAAACACTACGGGGACGAGATGAACACAATTTTTGAACAGATCCTTCTCACGTACCTTAACCAATGCTCTGCATTTTCATAAATATAAAAGGCAGGAAACATTTGAACATTTTCTTCTTAAGCACACTATTTAAAAGTAAGAAATTATAATAGAATTCATTTAAAATTTTATCCCCACTCATTTTTATCATAATCTTGGATCTTGAATCTTGGATCTTGAATCTTGGATCTTGAATCTTGGATCTTGGATCTTGGATCTTGGATCTTGGATCTTGGATCTTGGACCTTGAATCTTGGATCTTGGATCTTGAACCTTGGGTCTTGAATCTTGGATCTTGAATCTTGGATCTTGAATCTTAAATATTGGGTCCTTAATCTTGGATCTTGGATCTTGAATCTTGGATCTTGAATCTTGGTTCTTAAATCTTTGGTCTTGAATCTTGGGTCTTGGATCTTGAATCTTGGATCTTGAATCTTGGATCTTGGATCGTGGATCTTGGATCTTGGATCTTGGATCTTGGATCTTGGATCTTGGATCTTGAATCTTGAATCTTAAATATCGAATCTTGAATCTTGGATCTTAAGATCTTGGACCTTGAATCTTGAATCTTGAATCTTGGATCTTGAACCTTGAACCTTGAATCTTGAATCTTGAATCTTGAATCTTGAATCTTGGATCTAGAATCTTAGACCTTGAATCTTTAATTTTCGATCTTAGATCTTTTTTTCTTGGATCTTGGATCTTGGATCTTGGATCTTGGATCTTGAACCTTGGATCTTGGATCTTGAATCTTAGACCTTGCATCTTGGATCTTGTATCTTGAATCTTAGACCTTGAATCTAGAATCTTGGATCTTGTATATTCGATCTTAGATCTTGGATCTTAAATCTTGGTCCTATCTTAGATATTGGATCTTAATAATAATCTTAATATTGGATTGGATGGACAGATGATTAATATAAAATTATATGGTTTAAAATTATGATGTATATAAAAACGAACAGTAGTATTTCAGAATTTTAAATTTTTCAGGAATAATTGGAAAAACTACTTTTCTTGTCTGTACTATCCGTAATCTATCAAACTATACGGTAAGTGTTTTATTCAAATTTATTTAACTAAGCTTTTAGTTATGGCTCTATCTGTGAGCATCTTCTCTTTTTCTGCAGTTAAATACAATAACAAACAAAAAAGTTCGCGGATTTTCAATTTTTTTTGCGTGCATTTTTTAAATGACGAAAGTAAAAAGCTTTTGAATCAATAAACCTTCCCTGGGGTCATGCGAGGTCCCACACACAATTTGGGCCCGATTGTTTCAGCCGTTACAAACAAGACAGACAAGCAAACTTTATATATTAATAGACAATCTTAAATCGAGCTAATCTCTTCCATTATAAAGTGGAAAAACTCATTTTGGTTCTTTTTTCCTATTTCTCCCCTTTATTCTTCTGCTCAAAGTTCCTGCTTATTCTGCTTTTAGTGTCCAATCAGTTTTTTCCCATAGATCCTTTTGTTTTTGCTTTTAATCCTGCATTATTTTACAGACTTTTTCTTATAACTTTTTTCTTATTTTCTGGTTTAAGAATATTTTTATTCCAATTTATTTTCTCTTGTTATATTATATAAGAAGACATAACTAGGATTGTATAAATGCACGCAATAGAAATCAGGAAACTTTTTCTTTTATTGGGTTATGTTTGACAGAAAATACAAGTTTATTTTTCTCCTATGGCGACCCTAAATAATAATATTAGTTGATTTAGTTTAGTTAATATCTATGTCATATGACAAAACATATTATTAAACTTTAAAAAGGCAATTATTTCGTTTCAAATGTCTGTCTGAAATCAATTAACCCCCCAATTGAACACAGTTTTATATCAATTTCTCGAGACAGGAACATCATGGATAGAATTCTTATAGGTCTGGATCAACTCCTGAAGTTCTTAGATTTCATTTTTCCTTTACAGTCCCTTTAATTAATATTTGGTTTTAACCACTTTATAACTTTTATTCGCGTAATAGTACATGTATAGTGCCCCCCCCCCTCTCAAGTTATTTTTCTTCAGGTTTCATGGGTCCGACATTCAGATACTCATCTTCTAGCTACAGGAGGATACACATATACTCCTGATACAAGGTATACTAGCTAGGATATATATATATATATATATATACTCATCTACTAGATACAGGAGGATACACATATACTCCTGATACAAGGTATACTAGCTAGGATATATATACATATATATATATACTCATCTACTAGATACAGGAGAATATTCATCCAAATATTGCTCTTTATGCAGATTTTAATATATCGAAAATGAATTTAAGAATTTCCAATAAACGTATAAAAAACTTTTGTTTCATTATTGATTTAAAGGTTGCATGTAGTGAAACATAGTTTTACTTTTAGATTTTCCTTCCAATACTTGATGATAACAATTAATCATAAGATAACATTAACAATGTAAAAAAAAAATATTTTTATAGTAAACCAAAAACATTATGAAATTTATTTTATTCTACTTTCCTTAAAATTTCTTCTCAAATTACTAGCAAAAAAATGTTTAGAGCAAAAATTGCAAACATTGCGGCTTTCAAATAAAAACGCAACAGTTAAAATTGTAAAAGAAGAAAAAATCTAAAATATATTTAAAATTACTTTAAATTATATTTTATATAGGTATTGCTGTTTGATAAAATTTAATGAATTATGTATTGATTAGAGAGCATAATCATAATTGAAATTGTCTCATAGATTGTACATTACTCAATGGGATGTTTTCTAAACTTACCATACTGTAGAACCCATAAAAAGGAAGACTACATTTCAGCATTCAGCAATCTTATGTTGAAATCTTTGATATTTTAAAGTAAAGCAAATAGGTGTACCTGTCTCATAAACATCAAATGATCAACGTAGTTAAATGTGCTTTTGTGCATTGCACTGCTTGGTTACATTGCTCATTGGGTTATTTAAAAAATAAACTTGAGTCTAACTGTCGTCTTCCTTTTGCATAGTTTTATCGGTCTCACTGTAGGTTTATGAATATTTTAGTTCAAGTGTGAGGTTTGTATGAAGTTTACGCTATTACATAATTAAGAACCTAACCACAAGAATAAAATTTATAACTTAATTCTAACTTTAAATTAAATATTATTAAAGTTTAATGCAGAATTAAATATTAAAAGAGGAAGTCCTGTTATTTATGAATAATTGTATAAAGAGTTTAAATTACCGAATAACATTGTCCCAAAATAATTTTTTTTATCCGAATTCATGATGGATGGAAATATTCATGCAATGGCTGAAAAACAGGCCTGAGGTGGAAAATTTTGAATTGACAGAACTAATTTAAATCTGATTAACTCTGTCTTTTATATCTCATTAGTAAAACCTCCTAACTCACGGAACCTATTTGATCCAAGTTATATGAGCTCTATCCATTGATATCGCATTAGGTTTAATTTTTTTACTTTATTTTATCTAGGTTTACATCTGTTCATAAACCTAGCTCCGAAAACTGGGTTCTAGAGATTAGAGATACTAATACATCAGACGCAGGTTATTATCAGAAATAATTTTAGTTTAAAGGGAGTGACTGGCTAGGTGTGGTGTAAATACAGGATTATAAAGTTAAAGGGGGTGACGGGTTAGGTATGGTTAAAATACAGGATTATAAAGTTAAAGGGGGTGACTGGCTAGGTATGGTTTAAATACAGGATTATAAAGTTAAAGGGGGTGACTGGCTAGGTATGGTTTAAATACAGGATTATAAAGTTAAAGGGGGTGACTGGCTAGGTATGGTTAAAATACAGAATTATAAAGTTAAAGGGGGTAACGGGCTAGGTATGGTTAAAATACAGAATTATAAAGTTAAAGGGGGTGACGGGCTAGGTATGGTTAAAATACAGGATTTTAAAGTTAAAGGGGGTGACTGGCTAGGTGTGGTTTAGATACAGGATTATAAAGTTAAAGGGGTTGACGGGCTAGGTATGGTTAAAATACAGGATTATAAAGTTAAAGGGGGTGACTGGCTAGGTGTGGTTTAAATACAGGATTATAAAGTTAAAGGGGGTGACTGGCTAGGTGTGGTTTAAATACAGGATTATAAAATTATAAAAGATTTGAGTTTAAAGGGAGTGACTAGCTAGGTATGGTTAAAGTACAGAATTATAAAATTTTAAGAGATTTAAGTTTAAAGGGGGCGACTGGCTAGGTATGGTTTAAATACAGGATTATAAAAATTGTAAAAGATTTAAGTTTAAAGGGAGTGGCTAGCTAGGTATGGTTTAAATAAGAGTTATAAACTTAAAAAAGATTTAAGGTTAAAGGGGGTAACTGGCTTGGTAGGGCATAAGTACAGGATTATAAAGGGAGTGCATGACTGGCTTGGTAGGGTATAAGCACTGGATTATAAAGGGAGTAAATGACTAGCTTGGCAGGGTATAAATAAAATTATTAAAGATTTAAAGGGCCGTACTGTTAACATAATTTGAAGTGACCCTCCATGCAAAGATGGCAATGCCTGATTTCTAATGGTACCCCATTTAAAACCCTTAGAAAAACAACGATATCTTCCACCTTTATATCAGATTAGATTTAATGGGTACCGTTGTAAATTGGACATTGTCATCTTTGCATGGTGGGTCACTCGAAATTTTGCTTACAGTCCCTTTAAGTCACGTTATGTTCGACAGTACTCTCAAACCATTTCACGTAAAGACCTAATTTTGAAGAGGTAGTATGGAAATCAAGGTCGTTTATTAAGGTTAGATTCTCTTGATGCGCTAAAATGAAAATAAATGTCGTCTTCGTGGCATTGGAAATCCTCATATGACGTAACTTATTATTGGCGAAAGATGAAGTAACAACGTTACTAGGGAGGTGGCAAGGATTTTCTCCTTTTTTATTACATTAGAGCGCATTCAGAGTACAATCTTGATGTAAATATTACAGAATGTACACTATATACAACAAACATTCAGAGTACAATCTTGATGTAAATATTACAGAATGTACACTGTATACAATAAACATTCAGAGTACAATCTTGATGTAAATATTACAGAATGTACACTGACTCTATGCAATAAAAATTCAGAGTACAATCTTGATGTAAATATTACAGAATGTACACTGTATACAATAAACATACAGAGTGCAATCTTGATGTAAATACAATAGAATGTACACTGTATACAATAAACATACAGAGTACAATCTTGATGTAAATATTACAGAATTTACACTACGTATGCAATAAACATCCAGAGTACAATATTGATGTAAATACTACAGAAAGTACACTGTATACAGTAAACATTTAGAGAGAATTGTAATTTTCCTGGCAGAATTACTGCAAGATACTTCCCTCATCTTCCATCTTTAGAGAAGAAAGTTTATAAGGATTTTACAGATTCTTTCTTATCCATAGTTTTCGTTGATTCGAATTTCGTGCTGCCGTAGTGGAGCCGGATTCTGGGAGAATTCAATACCAAACTCAATAATTAAATAATTTCATGTTTAAATTGTAAATTTTCTACCTAGTTTAGTTAAGATCATCGACCCATCATCACATTGACATGCAATACAAGAAGAGAAAGTTTGTCTCAAATTGTATTTCTTGGGAAATTATCATCTGTAAAGCGAAATAATCTTTTTTTTACCTTATTCTGAATTATTGATTGCTTGAAATCTATTTTTGCCAACTTCCATCTTGATATAGACAAACAAGCAAAGTTATAATAATTAATATCTGGAAATAACCAGTTTTCAACAGAAACCCTAAAAAGTGATTTTTCATGAAACACATATCTGATCTAGAAGTTTTAGAACCTGTTTATCAGCCAGGAGTTGGATCAAGCTTTGGGTTCGGATATTAAAATATCTTGCTCCGGGCATATTCCATTCCTGGAGCACTATACCTTGATGCATTCTTCCAATCAATCAGTTTATATGGATAGATAGATAGATAGATAGATGGATAGATAGATAGATAGATAGATAGATAGATAGATAGATAGATAGATAGATAGATAGATAGATAGATAGATAGATAGATAGATAATCAGATTGCAGAACATGGCAGTATGGTACATCAATTGACCAACTCCGTCCCTTTAAAGTTTTAGAAACCTTCCTGAGAATGTTTAAGCTCCTGAATATTTAAGTTTAATCTAAGCATCTGTGTTTAAACTTTTTAATAGATATTTTAATAAATTCTGATGAAGTTTCAGGAGTTTATAGTTTAAACTGTCTCAAAGATGAAACCACTTGTCTACCTTAAAAGGGAGGAATTTTCCAAAAACAAATTTTAAAATTTTCTCTTACTTCTGAGGTGGTCGCGTACAGTGGTAACTCTATCCTCTAGGCCTAATCTTATTTTTTCTAAACGTTTATAAAACCTAATTGACGCCGGGAACTCTAATGTATAGGCTAATGTATGTGTATCTGTATATATATAACGTTGTAATCACTGTTTGTCTGTTGTTTGTTTGTACGACCATGTTCATGTCTTTAAAGTGTTCTGTAAATAAAATGTCCAGCCTTTTAATGGTACCGTCTATGAAATGTTCTGGATTTAAAATGTTCTGTCTATTATATGTCCTGCCTTTAAATTACCATGTCTATTAAATGTTCTGCCTTTAAAGTGTCCTGTCAATTAAATGTCCTGCCTTAAGAGTGTACTGTCTATTAAATGTCCTGTCTTTAAAGAGTACTATCTATTAAATGTCCTGCCTGTAAAGTGTACTGTCTATTAAATGTCCTGCCTGTAAAGTGTACTGTCTATTAAATGTCCTGCCTTTAAAGTGTACTATTTATTAAATGCCCTGCCTTAAAAGTGTACTGTCTATTAAATGTCCTGCCTCTAAAGTGTCATGTCCATTAAATGTTATGCCTTTAAAGTGTATGGCTATTAAATGTCCTGCCTTTAAAGTGTCATGTCTATTAAATGTTTTGCCTTTAAAGTGTACTGTCTATTAAATGTCCTGCTTTTAAAGTGTCCTGTATATTATATGCCCTGACTTTAAAGTGTACTGTTTATTAAATGTCTTCCTGCCTGTAAAGTGTACTGTCTATTAAATGTCCTGCCTTTAAAGTGTACTGGCTATTAAATGTTTTGCCTTTAAAGTGTCCTGTCTATTAAATATTCTGCCTTTAAAGTGTACTGGCTATTAAATGTCCTGCCTTTAAAGTTTACTGTCTATTAAACGTCCTACCTTTAAAGTGTACTGTCTATTAAACGTCCTACCTTTAAAGAGTGCTGTCTATTAAATGTACTACCTTTAAAGTGTACTGTCTATTAAATGTACTACCTTTAAAGTGTACTGTCTATATAATGTTCTACCTTTAAAGTGATACCGTCTATTAAATGTCCTGGCTTTAAAATGTCTTCTGCATAGCAAAAAGTTTTTCCATGAAATGTCTTTATAATAGCTTTCACAATATATGAAAGCTTAGGATTAAGAGTGATTGATACTGAAATTAAGCCAACCACCCAACAGACTGCGTTTTCACTTAAAAAATTTTTGCACTCAAAGAAAAATTTCCAAATCGTCAATACGTTTGCGAATTGACGATTTAATATCAGAGAAAGTCCCCAAAAAATGTTTTGAAAAATTTCAAATTTGAAATTAAAGAACTTATACCCAAAGCGCTTTTTATATTGGAATTCAGCATAAAATTTCCAAGAAAATAATGTATAACATGAAATTTTTCAAAATATTTTTCGTCACTCCGTAACCGTCTGGACGATTTCGATTTTTTTTACATTGCAATGTTTTTTTAAAGTGAAAACACAGCAACCTTTGGTGGGAGGTTAGCTGATTTCTAAAAAAGGTCACAAATCAATCACCCTTTCTTAGAATAATAAAGGTGGATGCATTTAAAAAATGAATATTGATTTTAAGTAATTGTTTTCTAAATAGTCATGTTTTTAGGAATATATGAATGTCAGATCTCAACCAACCCAGTCCGCAGTCTTCAGTTTCAGCTAAACATATCAGGTCAGTCAAAACCAAAGAGTATCCAAGATTACGGAAAAGATACATGCAGAGAGAATAAAGGCTTACAAAGTTGGTAATTAAAGGCAGATAGGGTTAAGGATTACATAGTTGGTAATTATAGGCAGAGATGATAAAGGATTACAGAGATTATAATGACAGGCAGAGAGGGTAATGGATTACAGAGTTGGTAGTTACAGGCAGAGAGTATACAAGATCACAGAGAAATTGTTACAGGCAGAGAGGGTACAAGATTACATAGCTATTGGTAATAGAGGTAGAGAGGATAAAAGATTACATCGATGGTAATTACAAGCAGAGAGGATTCAAGATTACAGAGATGTTGGTAATTACAGGCGGAGAGGGTAAAGGATTACAGGTTGCTAATTACAGACAGAGAGGGTAAAAATTACAGATTTATGTCTCAATTACAGTTAATTGTTTGCATTTATAGTTCATCAGGTTAAGAGCCTAGTGTCTTGAATTACATTTCTATTTAATTCTAGAATCTTAGAATTCCATGAATGTAAACTCTAGAATCCTAGAATTCCATGCATATAAACTCTAGAATCCTAGAATTCCATGAATATAAACTCTAGAATTCAAGAATTTTTCTAATTGAGTTTTCAATTTTCTTTCCCCGCTTCTACAAGCACTCCAAACCAAAGTAGTTCTTGTAAATATTATCAAAATAAGTTCTCTTGAAAATAAATATGTAAAATATGACAGAAGGCTTGCAGTTCTGGAAACAAATGGTTTTATTGTTTTGTAACGGCATTTTTAAAACTATATAAACCTTTTTTATTTCCAGAAGGTGAGCATTGTATTTTTAGACTTTTTTTCTTTAAATTTCTCAAATTGCATATTATAGTAATGTTTTCAAACAACACTTTTTTCTGGGTTAAACGAACTGTCATTGTAATTTGAAGCCACCTTTTTTTAAAGTGCCATACCCAATTCACAACTTTACCCTTTCAACTTTTATCTAACAACTTTATAGAAAAACTGTAATTGAAAGTATTCAATTTTAGAAGAGAAGATTATGGATTTCTTTATACATTATTGATCAGGCAAAGTTAATAGCTCTCCTTAAAGATATTTAATTGAATTGTTTTGTTATCATTATTGAAATTAGGTTGAAAAAATAATCAAAACCGCCAGGAGCAATTTTCCATCTAATTGCTTTATACTTGTACTGTTAGAATAATTATCAATTTGAAATTGTAAACTCGTTCTGTACACAGATACATGTATTTTAGCAATACACTTTATCTATCTATCTAACTATCTTTTAAGAGTACCACATTTAATCAGACGTGCCAACAGAGAGTCATTTAAAATCACGTCTGCAGTTCCTTTAAATCAATTTTATTGTATAATCTTAAATAATTCAAGGTGTTATGTTTAAACTCCCAGTAAATTGTGGAAATCCCTAGAAGGCATTAATCATAGATTTATTTGGAGTTTTAGCAGCACGAACTTTGAATTATTAAATTCCAAATTAGTCAACTTTGTATATTCTATTGATTTTACTGATTATTCAACTTTCAAAGCTTTTCAACAACTTAGTAAATTATTTGATGATTAATTTAATTAATGTATCCACGTGTTAGGAGGAAAATTAGATTTATCTGAGGCTGAATTTAAAGAATTTAAACCGCGTCGCTGATCCGCCAAAAACCGGTTCCAATTGATCGCCGGCTCGAATCTCGAAATACTAAATACAATTTCAAGTGTAACCAACCATGTTTGAACCGCATCTCATATTTGAGCCGTGGCTCAAATTCATTAAATTCGGACTTTGTTTTTTTTTCGTAAAAAATATTATCAGTGTTGATATATGTACTCTTCTAATTATTAAATTAGAGTGTGCTGGATTCAATTAATATAATTATTGTTCATTATTCTATAATTTGATTACTTATATTCTCGTTCTCCGTCTTCTCCCCTATTTCCTTAGGATTGCTTTCGGAGCCCCTACCTCTCCTAGTTTTCATCAGAGAACTTGGATTATTCAAATTATAAAAAGTTTTCACGTGTGGCATATCGGAACGTTGATTTCTACATCAGAGACACTTATTTGTTATCAGAGGCCCCTTAAAATGCACAATGCACATGAACCCAATACTATGTTCCTAATTATCCATATTCATTATAAAAATCTAGGTGTTCTGTTAACGTAGACCAGAGGCCACCGTTAGACCTTTCCAATTGTTTTTTTTTGTATAAATGTCGGTTGGAACTCTTTCGTAACATATGACCCTATAACATACAACCCTATATCCTGGTAAATAGATGAATTGCTGGTTATATTTATGGAACATGTAACCCAGAAGTAGATGAATTACTGGTTATATTTATGGAATTTCTAATCCAGAAATAGATGAATTGCTGGCTATATTTATGGAATTTGTAACCCAGAAATAGATGAACTAATGGTTATATTAATGGAATTTCTAACCCAGAAATAGATGAATTGCTGGCTATATTTATGGAATTTCTAATCCAGAAATAGATGAATTGCTGGCTATATTTATGGAATTTGTAACCCAGAAATAGATGAACTTCTGGTTATATTTATGGAATTTCTAATCCAGAAATAGATGAATTGCTGGTTATATTTATGGAACATGTAATCCAGAAATAGATGAATTGCTGGTTATATTTATGAAATTTCTAACCCAGAAATAGATGAATTGCTGGTTATATTTATGGAATTTCTAAGCCAGAAATAGATGAACTACTGGTTATATTTATGGAATTTCTAAACCAGAAATAGATGAATTGCTGGTTATATTTATGGAACATGTATAACCCAGAAATAGATGAATTGCTGGTTTTATTTATGGAATTTCTAATCCAGAAATAAATGAATTGCTTGTTATATTTATGGAATTTGTAACCCAGAAATAAATGAATTGTTGGTTATATTTATTAAATTTCTAACCCAGAAATAGATGAATTTCTGGTTATATTTATGGAATTTCTAAGCCAGAAATAGATGAATTGCTGGAATTATATTTATGGAATTTCTAATCCAGAAATAGATGAATTGCTGGTTATATTTATGAAATTTCTAACCCAGAAAAGTGTAATTTTCCCCTTTTAAATTAACGCTAAAAAAATGCTTGACTTTCATCGTCTAAAAAAACTGCTGACGTAGTTTCAAGTAATTACCTAAAGATCTATGTCTTTCTGGATCAGACAAAGCTTTTAAAGGTACTGTTGTGAATCGGACATGCTACTTTATTAATGTAGGGTCACTTAAAATTACGTTGGCAGACCTTTATAGGAGTATTCTATATGAACGATTCAAAATAAAACTTCTGACTTTTAATATTTAAATTTAGATTCGTTGACCGAGATTTGGGGAAGTAAGGAACGTCATATTGACAAAGGATCTCCATTTAACCTGACCTGTAGGGTATCCAGCTATCAACAATCTATCCCATATATACTCTGGTATCATAACAATCAGGTTAATATATGGCCAATTTCTTAGACGCTCTACCATAGGTAGAACCATAGTCACACTATGGTTACGCTTTACCAGAGCAGTGTAGATAGATTGATACGACCTATAGTTTTACCTATGGTTAAATGAATAAGAAATTGGCCAATACTCTTTACATTAGTATTTCCTCAGTTTAGAGTCCGAGATTTATGAATGCAATTCAATTTGAATCGGGGTAAACTACGGGTTTAAAATGCGGATTTTTCACCCCCCATTGTCTCATGAACACATTGTTTAACCATTGAGCTTACTTAATGTTCTTACTTAAAGTGTTAATCCAGTGGCTTCTATGTCATTGATAAATTTCCAACTCTGATTAGACAATTTATCCAATTTATACCTTATCAAACCAAGTTTAATTGCATAAATAAATAAGGAAAAGGAAAGTGAATGAAGGATGATTTAATGAGAAAAATTATTAAAAAAAAATGTTGTTTTCTGTTTAGTTTATTAAAATCATACAACTGTAAATTTGTAACAAATTCAAGAAAAAATAAGAAGACGATTACCAATGTGCAGCGCAGTTGACCGGGCAACATTTACAATACATTAAACTATATCCGCTCCGAAATGTGTCTCCTCATGTTCTCCCCCCCCCCTTCACCGCCTCTACTTGTGGAGAGCAGCGTCAGTTAGCTTTAGAACGTCGAGATGTGAACACCTCCGATTAGGAACTAACTCCTTCATACTGCCGCAGATGTCTACTCAGCAACAAATGCTGCAATGTCTAAGCCTCCAGATGTCCAAATCCACAAAACAGTCGCATGTCCTGTGGTATGAGAGGCAAATCGTTCCTCACCACACATGTTACAGACTGCAAACCCTCCAGGACCGTCGCCTAGATGTGAACCCTTTGCTGCCAAGATGCTGACACCTGCGAGCTGACCATCATGAAGCTCCAACTGTTCCATTCCTTTCAAAACTAATAATCAATGTTATTTCATTTTCAACCTTTTAGATACTCCCAGTTAAGGGTCAATATTTTAAAACTGCTTTGCTTTTATTTCTCATTTCATGCTATTATTCAATAAAGTTACCAAATATCCCTTTAGTTCTTTTATTTGTGTCAACTAAATTATATTTGATTTTTAAATCCCTTCTTGCATTAGAAGAATAATACAGTAGTGAGTAGACACGTCTATATCACACAAAAAATCGGTTGAGCAGAGTATGAATATACATTTTAGATATGGATCACTTGATAAATAGTTTCAACGTTTATTTTGACATTTGGAAATCAAATTTTGAAATAAAATCTGAGAAATCTTGAAAAATGTGAATTCTGAATTTGACAGACTTTCAAATTGTAATATTCTCTACAATAATTCATCCGTATATGTACTATTTTATCCTTCTATCATTAATTTAAACAAACTCTTTTTTTCTGATATTTTTCAAAAGGAATGCAAAAAAATTTTAATATTTGAAAAATATTGAAAAAAATCTAATTTTAATATTATTTTAGCAAATCAATCTGGCTGAATCTGATACCTTTAAAGCGTAAGTATATTCTCTAAATAATTATATATTTTTTTCAATTACGATGTTACCAACAAAGGATAAGACTTCAGAGACGAGTACACAGAATTATTCAGTCTTTATTCTTACATTTTTGATTCCCTTACTGTAAACTCCAGTTCATTTCAAGTTCCAGGCCGATATTTAATCAGCTAAAGCATGCTGTACAGTACAAATACAGAATATGGAAAAACGTGACTATACACCAAATGAGTGATCCCCTTCTAGTGAAATTTATGTGCCCTGCAGTTGTAAAATTATTTATTTCTTTATCAAATAATAAATAAAAATGATCAAATTATTTGAGTGCGGAACTCTAAGTTATTTCTTCAAAGTCTATATATTTATATATTTACAGGTCGTCATAAAAGGCCATCCTTTCTGAGTAACTCTGTAATTGATTTCATAATCTATTTATAAGTACCTGTAATAAATATCGTAGTAAAACCCATATTTGTAAACCTGACCACACCTAGATATATTAAGGTGTACATTATCTGTAACTAGGCTTGTTAATTTCTGAGAAAACCTATTGGTCCTTATCGTTAACGTGTATTACGATTTGATTCAATTTCGTTCATTGATTTAACCTGTACCATTAAACCTAAAATATACATTAGTTGGACTAAGACTCTGCTTGTTTACAGTATTAGAGTAATCCATTCTTGTGTAGTGAACTAGAGGGCCCTAGGTCTGGTATAAGAATGTCTCTAATATCTAGGTCTGGTATAAGAATTTATCTAATATCTAGGGCGGGTATAAGAATGTCTCTAATATCTAGAGCTGGTATAAGAATGTATTTAGTATCTAGGTCTGGTATGAGAATATATCTAATATTTAGGGCTAGTATAAGAATGTATCTAGAATTTAGGTCTGGCATGAGAATATGTCTAATATCTAGGGCTGGTATAAGAATGTATCTAGTATCTAGGTCTGGTATGAGAATATATAAAATATCAAGGTCTGGTATAAGAATATATAAAATATTTAGGTCTGGTATGAGAATGGGAGGGGAGGATTATTCCATGTCTCTTCTGGTATCGTCAGCAGAACGAAAGCATTCAGGAATTGATTAATTAAAAAAAAATTAGGAGCGCGTTTGCAAAAAATACATTATAAATAGAAAAAGGCTCTACAAATATGAATGAAAAAGCTAAAGAAAGTAGAAAAAAAACTTTTTTCACATTCATTGTGAGTAAACGTATGGGCAATTATGAGGGTTTTGCTTTTATATTTTTTTTTCTTAGTCTTTAATTCTCTTCTTTAATTATTCTTTAACTCAGGGAAATACCACTGCATCTCCCCGGCCGGTCAGTCTAGTACAATCTCCCTTCATGTACATACAGGTATACTATACAATCAGTCAGTGCAGTACAATCTCCCTTCATGTACATACAGGTATACTACAATACAATCAGTCAGTACAGTACAATCTCCCTGCATGTACATACAGGTATACAATACAACCAGACAGTCTAGTACAATCTCCCTTCATGTACATACAGGCATAAAATACAACCAGTCAGTACAGTACAATCTCCCTTCATGTACATACAGGTATAAAATACAATCAGTCAGTCTAGTACAATCTCCCTTCATGTACATACAGGTACACAATACAACTAGTCAGTCTAGTAAAATCTCCCTTCATGTACATACAGGTACACAATACAACCAATCAGTATAGTACAATCTCCCTTCATGTACATATAGGTATACAATACAATCAGTCTGTACAGTACAATCTCCCTTCATGTACATACAGGTATACAATACAACCAGACAGTCTAGTACAATCTCCCTTCATGTACATACAGGTACACAATACAACCAATCAGTATAGTACAATCTCCCTTCATGTACATACAGGTATACAATAAAATCAGTCAGTACAGTACAATCTCCCTTCATGTATATACAGGTATACAATACAACCAGTCAGTACAGTACAATCTCCCTTCATGTACATACATTTATCTACAGGTATACAATGCAACCAGTCGGTCTAGTACAATCTCCCTTCATGTATATACAGGTATACAATACAATCAGTCAGTACATTACAATCTCCCTTCATGTACATACAGGTATACAATACAACCAGTCAGTCTAGTACAATCTCCCTTCATGTACATACAGGTGTACAATATAACTAGTCAGTACAGTACAATCTCCCTTCATGTACACACAGGTATAAAATACAACCAGTCAGTATAGTACAATCTCCCTTTATGTACATATAGGTATACAATACAATCAGTCAGTACAGTACAATCTCCCTTCATGTACATACAGGTGTACAATACAACCAGTCAGTACAGTACAATCTCCCTTCATGTACATACAGGTATACAATACAACCAGTCAGTACAGTACAATCTCCCTATGTACATACAGGTATACAATACAATCTCCCTTCATATACATACAAGTATACAATACAACCAGTCAGTACAGTACAATCTCCCTTCATGTACATACAGGTATACAATACAACCAGTCAGTACAGTACAATCTCCCCCTTTATGTACATACAGGTAAACAATACAACCAGTTAGTAAAGTAAATCTCCCCCTTTATGTACATACAGGTATACAATACAATCAGTCAGTACATTACAATCTCCCTTCATGTACATACAGGCATACAATACAACCAGTCGGTACAGTACAATCTCCCTTCAGGCATACAATACAACCAGTCAGTACATTACAATCTCCCTTCATGTACATACAGGTATACAATACAACCAGTCAGTACAGTACAATCTACCTTCATGTACATACAGGTATACAATACAATCAGTCAGTACATTACAATCTCCCTTCATGTACATACAGGCATACAGTACAACCAGTCGGTTCAGTACAATCTCCCTTCATGTACATACAGATATACAATACAACCAGTCAGTACATTACAATCTCCCCCTTCATGTACATACAGGTATACAATACAACCAGTCAGTACAGTACAATCTTCCTTCATGTACATACAGGCATACAATACAACCAGTCAGTACATTACAATCTCCCCCTTTATGTACATACAGGTATACAATACAATCTCCCTTCATATACATACAAGTATAAAATACAACCAGTCAGTACAATACAATCTCCCTTGATGTATATACAGGTATACAATACAACCAGTCATTACAGTACAATCTCCCTACCAGTTAGTAAAGTACAGATCCTATGTTGACTAAATTGTCACAAAGGAATTGAGTTTAGCCACAAACTTATTTTTCTATCCCCTATGTCTTTTTAACCTGATGGTGTAAACCTTTGATATTTCAAACTTACATTATTTGATCCAACAGAATTCAAAGTTTAAAATATCTAATGTCCACAAAATTAGGTTGCAAAGATATAGGGATTTTAAAAAATCAGAGTAATTGTGGCAAATACTTAAATCTTTTCTTACTGACTTTCCTCCTATAGCATCAAATAAGTAAATACTATAAATATCAAATTATGTTTTCATCTAAACCATCTGATATCTATTCTTGTTTGATTTATGCAAAATGAAAATTTTAATATCCTAGACAAAATAGTAAAAAGATATTTATTAATATTTTCTTTTTTGTGTATAAAAGAGACAAAAGTATTCAAATCTAACATAAAATCAATTTATTATTCTTTAATTTGCATGTAAAAGGGAGTGTTCGCGAAAAATGAAAGGGGGTATAAAAAATATAAAAATATTATAAAATATCAACTTTATACAAATGCGTCGAAAAAAAATCTATGATTATAGGTTGTAATAACTGAATGATTTGTTTGGAATTAAATTGTATTTTGAATTTTGTAACTTTCTTAATTTGTATTGACGATACGTTCTTCAGTATGAGTCGGTTTAACAATTTTCTCCTTATATACGCAACAGATAGAAGTAAGATCAGTAGCAATCACCATCGAATATTTTTCGACGTAAGCCTATACATTCTTTCTAGGGTTTCCACGAAATGGCTAAATCTTTTGCGCAAAATTTGCGCTATTTTCGCGCAAATTTTTTTTTTGCGAACTTTTGCGCTATTTTTGCGCATGAAACGCAATGAGTTTTGCGCGGTTTTGCGCTATTTTTTTTTGCGCAATTTGCGCAAAACCGGAAATATTTTTTGCGAAATGTTGCGCATGAACCATGGACCCCTCCTTTCTTCGATATACACTAAGTGTGAACATATTAATAATAACACAATTTTGTGTGTTAACGTCATGAAAAGTAAGTCTCAACACAATAAATTCATTTAATGTCAATTTTTCCAATTTTCATCATTGATTATAAAAATAATGAATTATCAAAGAAACATTACCAGCGCACACACATACAATTTACCAAGAAATCGGACTGTTCGCGAAATGTGTGTTTGTTTACAAAACAAACTTGCATTTAAAACCATTTTTTTAAAATTATGATACATTTATTTCACAAGACATCATGCCTTATATGATAATCTTATTTCGCTCTTATTAATTCCTTGTAGCGATATATTACAGCTTGAGAAGTTGCAAACCTAAATTTGTTTTGATCATTAATATTTTTAAGAAAACGTACGATTAATCATTTTACAAAGAAGTAGTTTTAATCATTCGCCTAACCGTCCAGTTTGGCCGAAAAAAAATATTATGGTTGGCAAAAGTTTAAAAGAGACCATTGGCATAATTTAAAGTTACCTAACATTAGTGTAAAGCATCGTGTCCTATTCACAACGGTACCCTTCAAATCTCTGACTGCTGACGGACTTATCCTTGTTTATCTACAGAAAATTTTTGATCGTTTTCAACCTGTTTTAATATTAGTATTAGACAAAGGTTTAAGGGGCACCATCGAGAATCGGCCAAGTCCCTCTATAAATGGAGGGTCACTCAAAATGTAGCCTACGGTCCTTTTAAGATAAGTTTAAGTTTTATTTAACCAAAAATCTGTATTATTAAAACTTCATATAAGTATGTGTACCTTCACACGTTGCCAAGAATTTCAGGAAGCATTTAATTCTGAAAATAATATTTTAGTTTTCTAAAACTTTAAATAAAGGTAGAATGTTTAAAAACTCGTATGTCAAGTTTATGGAGTAATTTTGGAGACTTTATATTCTTTATTATATACATAAATGTTACGAATTATATCTTAACAATCTTCTCTTTTTTGAGAAGAATGTGAGAAAATGATATCTTTGTTGCTCAAGGAAATCTACTAAATGTTTCCTGATTTAGAGAAAAATATTGCAGAAATATTTTTATAAAAGAAATGCTGACACCTTGTTTCGTTTAGGAATAAAGCTAAATATTTTCCTGTTTTAGAAGAGAATGCTGCTGAATTGTATTTGAACTCTGGTTTACAGATTACAGGGCCCTCAACCTTTATTCTTATTCTTGGGTAAATATTTTTTCACTAGGCCGGAGGGGGGGGGGGGGTCTAAATGTGTGCAAATCTTTCCGTTATCTATCATTGACTCTCCGTCATTCGTCAATAATAATTTCGCCCATAACCCAACAGTATATGCACGATGTACATTATGTACGCTGCATACAGTAATAACCAGACAACTGTGAAATAAGAAGACGACTTTGAAAATTATGTTATAATTTTAAATTGTCCTGTTAACATAAGACACAGCAATTGTGCAGTGTAAACAGAGCGATTTTACTAAATGAGGAATTTTTAAACTAATAGTAAAACTATTTGCTTTGAAACATCTTTAGAACACTTACAGATTGTTTTAATGTCGTCTTCCTTTTCCACCGTTTTCTGATTCTCATTGTACTAAACTGTTCACTGTTCAATTGGGTGATTTTTTTTTCAAATAAACGTTTTTGTTCAAAATTAGCAAATCAGCCCCTGGTGCTGGGGTCCTATAATAATTATATTAATGTGCTATCTGCAAAATTTGAATTTTCTCAGTTGAAAAGGTTTATCTGACGGGACAAAAAACTAGAATTATGATTTCCTGGACGATTGGCTGGTTTTGAAAAAAGTCCAAGATCTATCATTCATACTGTCATGCAGTCAAATGTGTTTCCAGTCTTAGACATTTATAAATTAGACCATTAACTACATTTGACATTTATAAATTAGACCATTAACTACATTTGACATTTATAAATTAGACCATTAACTACATTTGACATTTATAAATTAGACCATTAACTACATTTGACATTTATAAATTAGACCATTAACTACATTTGACATTTATAAATTAGACCATTAACTACATTTGACATTTGTCTTTTGGAAGATAAAAAACCTTTATTGCAGTACTCAGTAGTGGTAATTTGACATTGTATTCTTTAAATCTACAGTGGAATAGAATTTTGAAATTTATGTGATGAAATGAATCTGTGTTTACTGAACAAGTATTCCTTCCTATTCCACAGTATTATGGGTCTCACTGTATTGGTTTATTATTATTAATTCTAAAAACCTAGAACTTGAAATATTTTACAAAACACATAGATCCAAGTTTGTTACAGAGCCAGGGAATGTTGAAAATCAAAGTATAAAAACGTTTTAAAAATAAGAAATAATTGGGCAAATTGTTTAAACATAATTATAATAGATTCATCTAAGAGAATATTACATTGCATAATGATAGGTAAGGGGAATGGGAGGGGTTTAAACAGTTAATATTTAGAGGTTGCCATGTATTTAAATGTATTTATAAAAATATAGACCTATGAGGAAGATTCAAAATTTATTATAAACCTTTTCAAAGTTTGTTGAATTTGTAATTAGAATTGTTCAATTTTTCTGAAACTATTGTAAAATAATCTGCACTATAAAAATGATTATCTTTACAATTTTCTTTTCAGATATTTCTACATGTTCTTCTAAATATTAGATGTAAAACTTATGCTGCCCAAGCCTTTAGCTTCGTTGGCTGGTCAAAATAATCATCTAAGTAAGTTACAGCTGTGGGTCAACCTACTAAATCATGTTACAGTTTTAGCTGTAGGCCAACCTACAAAATCATGTAACAGTTATAGCTGTGGGTCAACCTACTAAATCATGTTACAGTTACAGCTGTAGGTCAACCTAATAACTCATGTTACAGCTACAACTGTGGGTCAACCTCCTAAATCTTACAGCTAAAGCTGTGGGTCAACCTACTAAATCATGTTACAGCTACAGCTGTAGGTCAACCTAATAAATCATGTTACGGCTACAACTGTAGGTCAACTTACACTGCACCAAGTTACAATAACAATTTGATGTTAACCTACAACTGGAGGTCAACCTATCTATCTATCTATTTTGAGGCAGCTGTTCGCTCCGAAAAACTATCGGACAGTCAAAAATTGGGTGACCGGCACGTTAGCTAAGCATAGTGCAATGGTGTATGCTTGCGCGGGACAGCCACTTGGGTCATAAGCCCCAATTGGTTTTGCAGCTGAAACTAAACACAGCTAGATTATTCTCAATCACGTCAAACTAATGTAAAATGCACTTGCGATTTAAATCTTTTATGTTTTTCATCATAACTCATCTTTTTAAAGAGTTATTGAGAAGAACATAAATGTTTTGAATTCATATTATGTAACCAAATAAATTTGCTATTATTACACTTGTACTTAAAATCAGAACTAGAGGAGCAACGGAGTCACAAAGTCGTAACAGCAATGTCAACTAAATTTGACCTTCGCCTCCTGGTTAGTTTGCAGTGCAATAGCTTAACCTAAAACATCTATGTTTTGCAAGTTAAAAATATATTACCGTGAGGCAATTGAGCCCTTGCCACAAACTCAAATTTTCTTAACCTTATTTCTTCGCAACCTGATAGTTTAAATCTTTGATATTTCAAACTTTAATTATTTAATCTAACATATTTCATAGTTTGAAATATCTAAGGTCTAAAGGAATTAGAAATTCAGAGTTTGTGGCAAAGAATCAATTCCTTTACCCATCAATCAAAATCATGCTTTTTACCGCATTTTGAAAAACAGACCAATGATTCAACTAGATTTTACCAAAATGGCGGGACCCCAGAACACAATATTGTAATTTGTTTTCACACCAATATTCGTAGATTTAAATCTAAAAACCATTTTGTCAAGTAGTTGTAAATAATAACATCAGATGTTTTCTTACAGCACCGTTTAAATTGAATTATTACATCCGTCAACTGAACTTTGTCATAAAAATATAAATCATATCTAGTTAACAACAATTTTTAACATTTAACATTTTGGTGTTTGACAAATAATAAATAAAATAAGTTACAAGAGTGCAACTAAACTAGAAGTAATTAAAAATTAACTATTTTCCAATAAAAGACATTTTTATTTACTAAAATAGAAATCATGATGTCAGGGTCAATTTTTCTGGTGTGGAAATGTTAAGTTTAATCAGTAGTGGAACTTATTATATTATATCTATAATCAGAATTGATCCTATGTGTTGAATAAATAATCAGAATTGATCATAATTTGTTAAATCAATGATCATTAATGATCCATAATCAGAATTTACACGAGTATGTTCAGTTCCTAAGCAGAATTGATCTTTTTCTGTTAAATTAATAATTAGAATTAATCCTTCATTGGTAAATCAATAATATAAAATTGATCCCACAATGTTAATTTAATAATCAGAATTGATACTTCTATGTTAAATCAATAACCAGAATTGATCCTAGTATGTTAAATCTATGATAATCAAAATTGATCCTTTGTGTTGAATCAATAATCAGATTTGATTGTGTTTGATCCAAAATCAAAATTGATCCTTTGTGTTGAATCAATAATCAGAATTGATTTTTCTTTGTTAAGTTCATAATCAGAATTGATCCTACTATGTTATCTAAATAATCAGAAATGATCCTACAATATTAAATCAATAAATAGAATGTATACGTCTATATTAAATCAATGATCGTAAATGATCCATTATCAGAATTTACCTGATTATGCAGAATGCAGAATTAATATTTCTAAGTTAAATCAATAATCAGAATTGATCCTTCTATGTTAAATCAATAATCAGAATTGATCCTTCTATGTTTAATCAATAATCAAAATTGATTTATTTAAACGAAATATTTGTGTATACACATTTTAATCATTATATACATGTGCAATTAAATAAAAAAATTAATTTTCAAATGATTTATTTCAACTGAACAAATTGTTGTATTTTATCAAATGTACATGAATATCTATTTATGAATATTATGTAAGAGTTTAATCAATATTATATGTATATAATTACTGTTACAAATTATCAGTAAAAGATATAAATTTTATTAATAAACATAAACTTTGTATTTCATTTATTATTAGTATGTCCCTATTTCTAAGCCGCATAGATTTAGATTGCTTTCAAGACCACGTCGATTTTAAAGTGTAACAACGTCTTTTACCTTAAAAACCTCGTTAACTCAGTGTTACTTTTTTGTAGCTCTAGACATGTACATATAAAACTGTAAAGCACTAGTTTTTTTAGCTTTTATATAAAGAAGTGGTTGGCAAACTTCTCACCGATTTTTGCTTGAGAGCTTGCAACTTTTGGATCACTGTGAATCTCCTCTATTAATACTTTCTTCTCTAAAATCCTATATAAAATCTATCTTCTCTAAGCTCCTCTATGAAATCTTATCTACTCTAAGCTCCTCTATGAAATCTATCTGCTCTAAGCTCCTTCATGAAATATATCTACTCTAAGCTCCTCTATGAAATATATCTACTCTAAGCTTCTCCATGAAATCTATCTGCTCTAAGCTCCTTCATGAAATATATCTACTCTAAGCTCCTCTATGAAATATATCTACTCTAAGCTTCTCCATGAAATCTATTTGCTCTAAGCTCCTTCATGAAATATATCTACTCTAAGCTCCTCTATTAATTATACCTACTCTACGCTCCTCTATGAAATATATCTACTCTGAGCTCCTCTATGAGATCTATCTGCTCTAAGCTCCTTCATGAAATATATCTACTCTAAGCTCCTCTATGAAATATATCTACTCTAAGCTTCTCTATGAAATCTATCTACTCTAAGCTCCTCTATGAAATCTATCTACTCTAAGCTTCTCTATGAAATCTATCTACTCTAAGCTCCTCTATGAAATCTATCTAAAGCTTCTAATATGTTCAGCAGGATCTAAGAGAATTCTCCCTCTTTATATAAAATGTATTTATTGTTCAAAACAATCCAATTTAAAAACAAATCAACTCTTATTTTCTCAAGAAATCTGATCACTATCAAACAAAACTATTTGTGCAAACCACTTGAAAATTTAGGTCGCAGCTGTAACTTAAAATATCGTGAAATATGACCAACAAAAAGGTTTAAGGAGGGAAATAAGAGTAAAAAAACGTTTTTGGGCCTTAACTCGACCAATTTTTAAAATATCGAAAATCTAAACTAAAAATGTACCATAATCAGCAGCCTTCTGCAGATCTTTTATAAATATATCAGCAAGTTCTGTAGATTTTTTTTACAAGTGTTATTCTTTTATATTTTCTTCTTTAAAGTCAAATTCGTCCAACTAAAATTGATTTTACAGAAAAAAAATTTAAATTTGTATCCGTTTAATTCTTACGCAATTAAAATTTCAAGAATTCCTAAAAAATCGACCTCCCTTCATGTACATGGCACTGCGAAAAATCGACCTCCCTTCATGTACATGGCACTGCGAAAAATCGACCTCCCTTCATGTACATGGCACTGCGAAAATGGTTTAACTGTGAATTTCACGTATTATTCTATTATTCGAAACTTTCTCCCCAAAAAAGCTTAACAAAAAAAAATAACAAAATAGTCAGACCGTTTAACCAATATATAGAAATAGAAATTTTAGCAAATGAATTGAATTACATTTTATGTCAAGAAGTTTTAACTCCTTATTTCAAATTAATAACTGTTTTTTTTCCATGATTCATAGCTATCTGGCATTGTTGCTTATGCAATGAATCGATCTGTAATGTATGGAAACCATAGATTCTTTTAGCCAATTTCCTAAACTAAGTTTGCACGCAAATCACTCTAAATTAAAGTAAATTGCATGCAAATCACGCTAAATTAAAGTAAATTGCATGCAAATAACGCTAAGCTAATGTAAATTGCACGCAAATCCCCGAAACTAAATTAAATTGCACGCAAATCACGCTAAACTGAACTAAATTGCACGCAATTCTCCTAAACTAAACTAAATTGCACGCAAATCACGTTAAACTAAACTAATTGCACGCAAATCACGCTAAACTAAAGTATATTGCACGGAAATCTCCTAAACTAAAGTAAAATGCACGCAAATCACGTTCAGCTAAAGTAAATTGCACGCAAATCACGCTAAACTAAAGAAAATTGCACGCAAATCACGCTAAGCTAAAGTAAATTTCACGTAAATTGCACGCAAATCACGCTAAGCTAAAGTAAATTGCACGCAAATCACGCTAAGATAAAGTAGATTGGACGTAAGATAAATCATAACTTCGGTTGTTGAGGAGGTATTATATAACGATGAAAAATATTTCCAATATATATATATATCATACTTTTCCGTAAATTCAAAATTTAAGGAGCTACGAGGTCACAGTAATCTCTTTTTGTCTAGTTTGCAGTGAAATTTCTACGATACGTTCATATTATTCGGGTCCTTAGGAACAATTTAGACTTAGATGTGATCTAAATCCCAAAAACATGGATCCTTTAAATATTTTGCAGTATGTGACCAATATCCTACTCACAAACACAAACTAAAAACCGACAAAATTGAATTATTTATTCTGTAAAAGTCCTTGTTTAGTTTTTATTTATTACCTAGAAGCTTAGTCCCAGTAGTGTAACAAGTTTCTTGGTATCAAACTAATTCTCCAAAAAAACTTAACTTTTCCTCCAAACTTCGGTAGAACGTTGTAGTCAACCCCCGAAAAGAACTTTTTCCCTTAAACCTGCAACTATTTGAAATAAAAAGTATCTATTTACGTAATTCTCTTTGCTCATATATATTTGTATATTTGTTAGCTTTAGCTGGCCAAACCGTTGTATATTTTTTGAGGGAACCTATGGGTTCCCTGAGGGTAACATAAGCTTAAAAATTGTATTTTTTTTTCAAAATATTTTGTTTTCAAGTGCTTGTTTAAAATTCCATGGGCAACACCGGGCACCTCAGCTAGTTTATGATGAAAACAAAATATATGTTTGTTAAAATGGGTTTAGAACATTTTGTGGGAAGCATTTCCTGAATGGACCTTTCATAGATAACAAAATCATAGATTGGACCTTTCATATATAACAAAATCATAGATTGGACCTTTCATAGATAACAAAATCATAGACTGGACCTTTCATAGATAACAAAATCATAGATTGGACATTTCATAGATAACAAAATCATAGATTGGACATTTCATAGATAACAAAATCATAGATTGGACATTTCATAGCCGAGATGAACTTTCATAAATAGAATATTTAATTTCTAAAATAAATCCTAAAATTTGAGAATGATTTAAAAACTGTAAAAAGTTTTATCATAAATACAATATATATGTACTGTGTAATCTATATAATAAAACAACACATTCATATATATGTTCCCTCTGACCGGCTAATAGCTGGACCGAATGGACCGATTTTTTTAGGGAACTCATGGGTGGCCCGGGGGTAAGTACATACGCTAAAAAAGTCGAAATCTTTTTCTATAAATTTAAAAAAAAAAATTCTTCAGATAGTAAATAAATGAAAAAGTAATTGAAAAAGGAAATAATTTTTTCCATGAAACAATCCGTTCATAAAATGTCCAATTGAAAACTTCGGTTCATTTAATG